TGCGTGAGCCTACCAAGTCAGTCAGTCTTACACACCTCCTAGCATGGGGTAATGCAGGTGAGAAGTGCTCCGACCGCCGCTATACGGGGGCGTCCTGTCCCCCATCCGCATGTGAGGAACTGCGTACTGCACATCTCCGTCGCCAGCATCAGTGGGTTGTGTTTTGGGGTCTGTGCCCAAGGGGCATCGGAGAAATAGATTAGTTTCGGTACTGGAGTAGAGTGTTCGGTGAGAGACTTGTCTGCGCACACAGCAGCACCTCCCCACACCCCACCCACCCCGTCGCGCCGCCGCCGCCGCCCCCGCCGCCGCCGCCGCCCCCGCTGTAGGTGTAGCGTTTGGGGGGGCGACTGGCGACGGCAAAAATGCAAGCCCCGCCCCTGGCCACTGTAAAATGAACTCGGGGGCACGGGTAGTACATGGGAAGCAAAATACGTAAGAGCCACATGCATTGAAAATTGCGTGAAACTGGGAGGGGGGAGGGAGGGGATGGGGGGCATGCGGGGGGGGAGGGGGGGGGGGGCTCTTGATTGAGCAACCTGAAGCTATCCTGGACTTGTGCTCAGGAAGGAGATGATCCGCCTGCATCGGACATTGTTCTTAACGTTTGTTGAGCATTTGAGCACTTGAATCTGGGTGTTCCCAGAGCTCTGTGAACACCGGCTACTCGGCCTTAGCCGTCGGTACGTCAACAGTATCGCACTGTGGGTTTCATTGTGGGTTTGAGGGGGGAAACAGATCTCCCAAATAAACTTCCCCCCCCCCCCCCCTCCCCTGCTTTTTTTTGTGCAGGCTGGCCCCCCTCGGTTAGGGCGCTGCGGGTACGCTTGCTGGGCGAAGGGGCGCTGGCCGCTGGGCGGACGCGCCCCCTGGCGAATGCTCCTCACGCCCCGCCTCGGCGAGCACGGCAACTCGGCGTCTGAGGAGGCGTGGTCGAATGCTCTCCGCCGCTGGCCCGCGCTCCAGCCCTGCGAGGCGCTCCGCGCCACGGGCAGCCACGAGGCGGCTCTGAGCGCGCTCCTAAAGCTGGCGGAGGCGGACGAGCCTTCCCCGGTCGCCGGCTCGCCGGCGTCCGCACCGGCGCTTCCTCGTGGCGCGGTGCCGCCGGCGCTGTCCGCTTACCTGAGCATGCTCGGCGGCGAGCACGCGGCGCTGCTGCAGCAGTACGTGCGCTGGCTGGTGCAGCACTCGCACCCCGACGCGGTGCTCCCCAGCCTGACCGCGGCGCGGCCGGCATCCGCCGCGCCGCTCACGCCGGTCGCCGTCGCTGCAATCCTCCGCGACGAGGCTCCCGCGCTG